AAAAAAAAAAAAAAAAAAAACGTTTATGAATAATCTATTATATAATTTAAATAATAATTAATAATTTATATATAAAATCAAATTTTTTTATCATACCATAAAAAGTCAAAAATAAATAATTCATCGATCTAAATGAATACTTTAACTGAGTTTTAAGTTTTTAATCCGAATAAATTGGTTCCGGATCGAAATAACAACGAAATTCCCGATTACAAAACTTCTTTCGGTCATAAAGACTCGCATATTGAACAATATGTACCATATGTACCGTATATATAGTTTTTACATTAAGTTCACTCATATAAAATGTCACGTGTCGGTTAATTTTTTTTTACCTTTATACTGTACTGTGAAAAGAAATATACTGTATATATATATATATATAATATATTTATGATATATATATATATATATAGCATCTTATATTGACCATCCAATACATTTCTTCAAAGATAAAATGTAATAAAACCACATAAAGAAATTTTAAAGGGTAAAAAATGGGAATCGCACAACTTTTATAGGAAATGTATAAAGATGAACGCTTGTTATAAACGTGCATAAGACTCATGCTTTTATATCATTTTAGTATATTGATCGCAAACAAATTTATAGTTTTAAGTATGACAAAAAATTGGTATTCTTTATTTCATATAATCAATATAATCTCGTTTTTAACAGATTACTATTTTAACTAGACTTTAAATGATAATCATATGATGATCTTTGAGGTCTAGAACATAGCGATCGCATTCAATTATTCGCTTAATTTTTCCGTTTTCGTGTTTGTTAATAATAAATAAATATATCATCCTATTATTCACCTAATGAATGAAAAAATGCAGTGTTCATATAACACAAACAAACAAACATATTAGGAAAATGACATCAACACATCGAGAGGGTCTAGAACCATTACCTAGAACCACCTAGAGTACTGAAAATTCAATTTAAAAACTTTGAATGAATTACCTTAAAAGACTGGTTCGCGTTTTTCATCATTAAAGTAGTGGAAATTTAGTTTCCGGTAGCTAAATATAATTTTTTTGGGTTTTTTTTTGGCTTTTCACTCTTTTTTTTTTTCTCTCAGTAAATCTTCCATAGAATTTTGACGTTTTGTTTTTGTTTTGCAAAAATTATATATATTTTTTTCTTTTTTTTTTTTTTTTTT